TCAGTTTGTGTGTGTGTAGACTGAATTGATATTCAGCAACTTACATGGGACTTTTTCAAGAGTTGTTTTGCAATAAAATGACAAGTTCAGAATGAGGATATAAGAAACATGTTTAGTCAGCTTTATCATTTTAGAGTCACTACGGGATATTTTATCATTTTCTGCTGAAGGGTCAGACAGCCACATTACAAGTTAATGCGTCACAGACCACAGGAATTCAGGCCTTAACTATATTGTGTAATTTGGAACAATTCTATTTTCTCCTCTTTATGTCTTCTGTATCTTGATTTTATAATTTAAAGCTATTTCTTGTAAATTCTCTCAGGAAGGTTTCCTGACACAGCTTTACAAGGAAGCATTTAATCATGATGAAAAAGCGATGGTGGTGGTGTTTTGAGTTACAGTATTGAAGGGTAATTCTGATGACTGGCGACTGCCAGCAGTTTGGCAGTTCGATCCAAGTTTCAGGCTTCCATCGTTCTAGGATGGGTAAAATGAGGATCCAGATTATTGGGGGCAATCTAACTGGTTGATTACTCTGTAAACTGCTTAGAGGGCTGTAAAGTGGTATATAAGTGCTATTGCTACTTTTAAGAAGACTGCTTTTTTCCTAGTTTTAAAAAATATTTTTAAGAAATGTATACATAAAATTGCATTCTTCTACACTTTCTGTGTCTTCACCAGCCGCAATTTTATCATAAATATAAACATTTAAGGCAGAAGAAAAACATTCCTGCAGATATACTGTACTTCATTCAACATACGGTTTCCTTTCTTTATTATGCCTACCGCAATAATCTTGCTGTGCATTATTTCTATTGATCTTCAGTTGTAACATATTGAGAGAACTTTGGATGTACATAGTATACATAATGCCTCTGTGATTATTTAACATCCCACAGACACTATCAAGTGCAGAGATGAGTAAGAAATATATTCCACATATATTGTACCAACCATTATTTAAATTCCAATTAAGCTCCTTTAACAAAAAACTCATTCCAGAGACTGATGTGTTTGGACTTTTCCAGAATTCTCAAAATACTATTTCATATTGCTGGTATTTTCCTTATATCTGGCTTACAATATTTCAATCCCCAGGTACTATTGATAAGGGGTTCAAAGAGGTACATCCAATGTGTTTATGGGTATCAAATTGAGACTATGGTCAATTCTAACTGTCTGGTGCGGGAGGCTGAAAATGTGTTATTTATATTTTTATATGCATATTGAAGATGAGAATGGTAGGGAGAAGTGTGAAGAGTTATAATGATAGGGGCCAACCCCAGCCTGGTCAGATAAGATAGCACCTGTCAGACACAATTTCTAAAATTAAAACGAATTTATAAAAGTGCTACAGAGCAAGAAAGTAGATATGCAGATTTTCCAGGGTAACAAAACACAGCACAATGGACTTTTTTTGCTTCTTTTCACTCTAACAAAAAAGCTTTTTCATTGCCTTCCTCTACTTATATATCATTACTATATAATGCGGTAGCTTTAAGTTGTAGACCTGGAGAAGATCCTGCACAAAAATCAGAGGCAGAACTTCTATTTCCCTGATGTATTCATAGGACTTGGATTTAAACTCAAGGATAAAGTTGACAAGCTGTATTCTCTTTATTATACTGTCTTGCTGTTGCAGAAGAATCAAGTCCTTCAGTCTTGTTGAACTGAAAGTGGTTATGGAGCTTCTCATTCTACCCAACCAACCAAAATTCTCCAGAGATTCCTATTTGCAGACTTGCAGTGCAAAGTTTTTATATGATGGTCAGTCAAAGGTTTGCTATGGACTTTTCAATGGAAGAAAGGCAGGCAACAAATAAATAAGGCCAGGGGAAATAAAGACTACAGAAAAAAATGACAATTAATATAATCCTCAAATATATACCAATTTCTCTCTTCTGCCTTGTTTCGAATTACCATTCTTAATTTGCTCCAAGACGTCACTTGGGTTTGTATGTGCAAAAAAATATTTATGCAACACAGGTAAGTATTTCAGCCGCACAATTACACTTCTTTGAATAAACAGTCCTTCCTTCCCATACTCTGGATTTTGGACTACTTCTATTTTCAGGTATGTATTCATCTAGAGAACTAAGCATTTTCTAAAATCCCACTCAGCTCTTGCTTTAGGAAAATGGCCATGGAGTTGGATCTAGAATTGCTTGTACATAAACAACAGAACTGCTGCACAGGACAATATATTTGCCAAACAAATCCTCAGTGCTAGTTAATCACAAGGGAAAGCAAGGGAAAAAACAAAACCCTGACTCATTCCAGTTACCGGATTACATGGTTTGGAACAAATATTCTAAAGCTAAAACTCTTACTGGAACACCTGGACTAAGTGAAGGAAATTAGTGCAACCTTGTGAAAGCATATTGTAATACGTTAGGGTCAGACTGATTGTTGATGAAACCCAAAGACTGACATCACATATAGTACAAAGCCACAACCCATGTCATACAAGACACAACGGGTGCGCCCATAGAATGGACTAAGCTAAAATCAAACAAATCACTATTTATCATGATGCATGTACCAAACCAATGTTACTTACTCCTTCGCACCGTGAACCTGTTTAGCTCAAAGTAGATTAACTCAAATAAATTGTTAATCTATTGTTGTAATTGGGTTGCAATGGGATGGAAAGATGAGAAGACAGGATGGGAAGGAGACACAAACACACACAAAGCTTTGTCACAACAAAAACAAGATAGTGAAAACAAGACCAATTATTCCATCACAATAGTATTTCAACTGCACAGGTCCATGAATCTTATAAACTATGCAGCAACAGCTACAAGCAAAAAGGTGCTTTTAAGCTATGAGGGCCCCAAACAGGGTACATGCTGTTCCCATCTATTTTTATAATTTCTGACAAACTTAACCAGTTTCAGCCTGCTACTCTTCTCATATTTCCTGGTACTTTTCCATCTAAGTGCTATCACATCATCCAGTTCACATGGAAACTTAGTGTTCTGCAGAATTTGTGTTTTGAGAATCGTCTCTTGTTCTAAATTGCTAAATCTTCCTAAAAATCTTCATTCTAGTATTTTTATACATGTTGCATAAACTGGAATCTCCTAGGATCTAGAAGTCTCTCAAATACTGCATCTCTGATACAGGTTCATTCCTACTTTCACACAAATACCTGATGCAAAATGCTCTTATATACACACACATTTATAAATGAATGAAAACAGGTACATATACACAACAGCTATGTGGTAAAACTAATTAATACGGTCACCAAGTAAACTTGCTTTTGAGATATGCCTGGATTCTACTTATGTTCTCAACAACACTGATGCTTTTCCATTTTTATAGCATTTTCTCTCTGATAATTTAAAATCAACACAATCAGAAGACATTCATAATGTACATCCACAGTATATATCAACAAAGAGCAGCAAATTGGGTAGGAAACACATTAGTATTGCAACTAGTTAGCTTTTTAAAGTTACTTCCTTTATAACCATGTGTCTGTGTTAAATGTATTGACTGTTTAAAATTGATGTATAATTTTAAATGGAGAAATTAGTTTTAATAAAATTTGCCTTTTCCTCATTTTGGTCTAAATCAAGGGAGAAAATCTAACAGTGTATTTAAATAATAATATATTTAAATTCAATTTTTAATCATAAACACACCTGTTCCATTTGACTTCATTAGCAAATATATCTAATGCTGCTCATAAAAACGTAATATCTCCTCTTTATGATTATCGGAGCATCAAACATTTTTTTAAGAAACTGAAGAATGGAGGAAAGTAATCACTCCAACATACATCGCAAAAAGCAGCTTGTTCAATAGCATGCTGTCAAGTGGAAACTGAAATAGTTTCAAACATGTTATTCAGGGAAGCTTGAAAAAATTTATATATGTATGTATGTATGTTATTCAGCTTTGTTCGGGTATTTTCCCACGTCGTCATAGTTGTGGTTTTAAAATTGTAGCAACGTTTTGGCAAAATCTCATCTGCCATCATCAGGCTTCTGTACTGTGTTCATCTGTGAGTCAGACTTTCACAGCCGTTTGACTGACTCACAGACGAACACTATACAGAAGCCTGATGATGGCAGATGAGATTCTGCCGAAACATTGCTACAACTTTAAAAGCACAACTATAATGATGTGGGAAAATACCTGAACAAAGCTGAATACCATACAGATAAATACCCACGAAAACTTAAGAAAACATATATATAGATTTTCACGGGTATGGGCATGCAGGTCTTGGCGTGTGCGGGTCTTTTCCTGTGTAAGATTGAGAGCATCTTGGCAATGTTTCGATGAGGTCCCACTCGCCATCTTCAGGCTGGTGCTTTCGGCTTCATGCTTGTGTGTGCAAAATATATATATATACAGCATTGGCAGCAGTAACTGATTTAAAAAAATACAAGTGTATTCACATTTCTCACTCCACTCATTTTTATGACATGTATGCCAAATAATTAAGTCACACTAATTTCAAAGAGGTAAATAAGGAGAAAGAGAGCAATCTTTTAACAGTGAATGATAGATTTGGGAAAGATTTTGAACCAACAACTTAACTTTTCACTTGAAGGCTGAATAAGGGGGAAATGAACAAACTTTTATGTATCACATTATAAAGGACAAGCAATCGATTATAGCTCCTTTTTGGTACCCAAAAAGGAGCTTTTCTTCAGTTTATATTTTTTTTGTTAACAACCCTAACCCAACTCCCAGAATGAGTAGGATGCTCAATTTAGATTGTAGCATAAATTCTTCTCTATTAAAAAGAAACAACCCTGGCTCTTGGGTTTGTTAAGTGAAAATCATCCTTTATCTGAGGTCTGATGTTCTAACAACTCTAAGTTGAAATGAATTGTGGCTCTTTCAGACTTTGATGAAGACACGTCATCTCAAGTATTCTACTTTACCAAATTACTAGCACCATGCGGCATTATTAATGTGTCCTATGACCAACCACTAGATCACAGAAAAAAAAAAGCCATATATGCCACGTTTTGGGGAGGTCTGAGAGGCACTGCTTTTCTGGGCCAGGACTGGCACTATGGAGCAGCCTCCTCCCTGTTGATATTTTGGAGGTTTTTAAGGACAGAGTTGTTGTGGAGAACCTTCTCCTGATATTGTCATGCCATCTTCATTTTCTATGTTCATTGTTTTGCGGTTTTATTTGGATGGTATTATTTCACTCTTTATAGTTGTTAAACTGTGGATGCTTTGCTTGGCATTTTTTTATACTCTTATGTAAGCTAAAGAGTCTCTGGATTGTACGGGTTGGAAATGTAGAAATGAATACAGAAGCTGAGGAGTTATCTTGATAACGAATTGGACTCTGCTCAAATAAATCTTACCAAGCAAGGATTTTTTTTCTAGCTGAACATTAATTGGGCATAGGTATTTCATAGCATGATGGATAAGCTTGTTTACAGGTATCTACATTGTTTGCTTTCTTTCTTTCTGCAACACCTGCATCTTTTGTTGTTTTTCCCTAAAGCGAGACTACATACTGTAATCCAAAAATATTAACTTAGAGAAGTCACCTGCTGTTCCTAACCTTATAGCTCTATGTGCCTTCACATTTTTAAGTTCTTGAAAAAACTTGCTTCTAATGTGATTCCTTTTCGTTTTGTTCTTAAATGTGGAACTCTGGATTGACAAAACAATGTATTGCATAAACCAGTTTCCCCCAAACTCTGGATTGCCTCTTGAATTTTCAGCCAGCATAGCTATTGCTCAGAATTCTGGCACTTGAAATCCAGGCATATATGGAGAGATAACAACCCAAATTGGTAAACAGCAATGATGATAAATAAGAATACAGACTTAATTCAGAGCAGTCAACCAACAACAAATTAAAAGGATATAGGCCCAAAACATTCTGGAAATTTTTCTTCATTTCTAGACAAGCCTTTAGCTCTATATAACTTTGATCAAACCTGCTCCAAATCCCCGAAAAAATAAACAATTGATGTATTTTATATTCTAAATAATTTATGATAAAGATTGGGAAAATATTATGGCAAGGTCAAACACCTATAGACATAGGTGTCTATAGTATAGGTATCAAAGATCAGGTAAACCAGATTAGAAAAAAAATTAAGATCCTCCACTGTTTAAAAAAAGGAAAAATAGTAAAATTTACAGGAGATAAGATTTAAGTTTATATGGCATTTCATTGAGAGGAGCCAAATTCAAATGCTCCTTCCAGTCTAAACTTCTCATTCCAACTTTAGTTTCTTTGGATTTTCTCCATCTTCAGTTTTCTTTTCAGATGGTCTTTTCTTTAAACCTTTCATTTTTCTAGTCTGAAGTTTATCCAGGTCCTGTTTCTGCATGTGAATCCGTCCATATTTTGTCCCAAAGACATCATGAGAGACGTTCTTCTTCTTCTTTGGCTAGAAATACAAGATTTTTTAAAAAAATCTAGAATGACATTTCTTCAAAATGCAATCCTGGTCCAATAACGACTGGAAAATGTCCTTCCATTACAACTTAAATCTAATTAGTTAATTCATTATTTCATCTAAATTAGTTAGGAGAAACAAATCCGTGACTGGAGAATTGTATTGAAGTCTCATTTGTGGACCAAGCACTTCCTAACTCTATTGCCTTCCAATGTGCCGACCCCTCCCAGAATTCTCACCAGGAGACCTGTAGGTTGATCCAGATATGAGGAAGGCACTCAGGGTAGAGAAAACTGGTTTAATTTGCAAAAGCTCCAAAACAATGATGCAAGGATTACAAAATTAGACTAACTCTATCAGATTAGCTCGTTATGATATTACCTAAAGACATCCACAGAGAGCCAGTTTGGTATAGTTAAGGCACCAGGCTAGGAACTGGGAGACTGTGAGTTCTAGTCCTGTTTTAGGCACCAAGTCATTCTCTTTCAGTCTAAGAAGGCAGCAAGGGCAAATTATTTCCAAAATTTTGCCAAGAAAATTGCAGGGATTAGTCCAGGCAGTTGCCAGGAATCAAGATTGGCTTGAAGGCATGCATACAAGGACATCCCTATCTCAATAAAATAAATGGTGACTACAAATAAGTCAAGCAGAAATCATTCCCAAAGTAGATTCAAATGACATTTATAATCTAAAATAATCCTTAAAGTACATTAAGAAAAACCGGAGTAGCGCATATTAGTGGATTTAATTAATCAAATATAACTGTAAAGAGTTGAAGTTAAGTTACTCTGATCCACAAACAGAAAAAAAAATATTTTCAGTTATGTATCACTTTCAGTTCTGCACTTGGGGCAGATTTTCCTGGCCTAAATATATAAAGACTTGTCTACGTACCTTGAGTGCTTTAGGTTGCTTTAGTGACAGCTTATATAGATCATCGGATGCCAAATGTGTTCTCCTTATCATCAAATCTAATGAGGGTCCCATATCTTCAAGTTCAATCCTTGGTATTTTACAACCAGACTTTTTCAATAACACCCTTGAAAATAGGACAAAGGGGGGGTGGGGGAGAGAAACCTTCCTGTTTGATTAGTTCATCTGACATTCTGGATCCTTGTAACAGTCTTCCTCCAGAATCCAAATAGTTCAGCACAAAGAACAAATCAGTCTTATGCAGTTCATATCAATGCCTCACGCCGACATGCAAAGCTATATCAGATCTATATTAATAGTATCAATAGACAAATATTTACTGAAACCAAGTACTGTATAAAAGTCTCTGGGATCAGGATTAAGCAGAAAGAACCCCACGATATGCCATAAATCTTGCCCCGCCCCAAAGGAATATTAGCAACCCTTTCTCCATAGATTCCTTCTGGAGAAACACTATGCAGAGTAATGGCCATACACTTTTGTGAGATAGAAAAAAAATGCTTCATTTACCATAGAGATAACATACTTTGGCTTATTTTGCAGAAAAGTACTTTGAGGATAACATTTGTTTAATAATGTCCTTTTTTGGCTCTACAAGTAACCATCAAAGGGAACAATTTAATGAGATCAAATAGTGCCGAAGAATATTATTAAAGAGCTTATAGAAAAGAAATTAAAAGAGTATATATTGCAGGAAAAAAATAACACAAATACAACAAGAATGCAGTTTGAATAAAAAAGTTAGAGAAAGGAAAAAAAAGGGGGGGGGGGCGCAACAGCAGAAATGGTGGAGAAAGGGACAAAGATCAAAAATTAGCCAGCATCGGATAAAAATGAACTGCTGGGTTTTGGGTTGAAACATCTAACTGGTTGATTAGATTTTAGTCTACATTGGAAAACAACATTACAACAAATGATGGACAAGCAAATCTCTAGGCCAGGTGATGGCTAACCTTTTCGGCACTGAGTGCCCAAAGTGCATGTGCAAATCTCCAAAATGCAATGTGCATGCACCCCACCTCCGTGCATGTACCCTATGCATGCATCCCGCCCCTCATGCATACGCAGCAGAGACCCAAAGATTAGCTGGCTGCTGGGAGGTGCGCGCACACATGCACAGCGGAGCTGAGCTGGGGCAATGGCTCGCGTGCCCGCAGAGAGGGCTCTGCGTGCCAACTCTCCCCATCTACTATTACAGCAATAGAGAAGTATGACATCCAGTTGTTCATCAGTTTATTTTTAATCCATATTTAATTTCAAAACTAAGGACTTGGTGCAATCCAGTTTCCAAAATAATAGCCCGATCATCTCGTAAAAGAAATGGATTGGTTGAAGGATATCTGAGTAATTTCTTCTCCATCCTTGTTGAAATTACACAGCAATAACCAACTGTAGCCTAATAGCAGTTAGCTGCAATTTAACATAAACGTAACAGTTTAACATAAATTAATATTCTTAGTATACTTCTTGGTTCATCAGTCCCAAGTCCCCTTGCACATAGCAGTTGTTTAAAAACATGCATCCAATGCCACATTCTACCAAAGCTGTATTAATAAATATCAGACATGACTAAGTTTGAAAAGAGATGTACCAGCTCATAAAAGGTAAACTCTGTCTTCTCTGTATTCTTTCATCATTTGAAAGTAACACAAATTCCTTTTTTAACCTTATCAGAAACCCCGTTCTTATTGCATCTGAATTATATTCCTGCTCATTAACGCTAGGTAGATTGACAACTATAAGTTAATTTTGAGGACATTCATATTAATTAAAACATTTACAATTTTTAAACAGCTGGAATTTCCCTGTACCGGGCCGCCTTCAAGTGGCAGCAGTTTCCAGATCTTCAGACTGATACATATGTCTGATTTGTTCTTTTCTCATTATTCTCTCCACTGAGATGGTTAGTCAACCAAGCATAATATAATAGATCTGATATTATTAAATTATAAAGATTGGTGATCATATATTCTGATCTTATGTTCCAACCTCCTTCTCTTATCTCTTATCTTACAAGAGAGAGGGGGAGAGAGGGAGGGAGGGAGAGAGGGCGGGGGAGATAAAACTTCACGCCCCAGACTTTGTACAGTTGCATAGCCGCATCAAACTCAGTTTTTATTATTGGATTCTATACATGATTCAAAACAGAATTCTCACAGTTTGGGATATTCCAGATATGGCCATGTTGTATGAAAAATTCTGAGAGTTTTCAGTACATATGTAGTAATATGTTTTATATCCACAGAAGACAAGACAATATTTCAAACACATTAAGAAACTAGGGCATATGTATATGGGTCATAATAAACCTGAACTGATATCCTAGCAAAGCAAAGGTCAACAGTTTGTAAACAGGTTTTGTGTCTATGTTCAGCTTTCGCAGAAATGAAAAGAACAGCCGAGTAGGGATATCAGTATTCAACAATCACTCTATCCCAGACCCTGAATTGCTGAACATAACAATATGAAGCTAACAGTTATTCTGTAACAACCCAAAATAGATAATTAAATCTAGATAAACCTTCAAGGATAGAATACAGTGGGGCTATACTGCAAAGTAGGTGACATTAAGTTCTGTTAGTACAGTAAAGGTTAATGAATATTAACACAGTGGGAGAGCAATACTGACAAAACCAGTCACAACTGGATAGCTTGAACCACAAGGAATACTATAGAAATAATAGGGTATCTCCTGGTTAAAAAGAGGGTAATTTGGTGGGCGTTTTCTGAGGAAATCATGATTTCTGAAGAAATAATTTGCTTGTGGTTATGTATGTTTCATGTGTACATGCACTTTGCTAGTGCTGAGAATCCCTAGTTTTTAATCAACAAGTTTAGCCTGAAAACAAAATTTCTAAGTACAATTAATATACCTGTAACATTATGTTTCTTCTAAGTAAATGAGGATTTAAAGTAACGTTTTAATTGGGTATTCAGCCATTTCATACAGACAGCAGGTTAACCATAATCCATGGGAAGCCAGCCTGAAAGGATAAAATTAGACTTTTCCCCACCTAACGCCTCTCCTACACTGCTCTAATCCAATCACGCACAAATGCACCACATCTCTAGTCCTAGTCAGTATATGACCGCACATTGTTGCACATACCCAAACACCACGCGGACTTACTTGTAACTTCTCATATAGATCTTTTCATCCACTGCTGTGAAATGCAGAACATGTTCTAAGCCGGCCAGACGAATACTGGGCACAACGGGGCCTCTGAAAAAATCTAAAAGGCAAAAAAAGAGCAAGAACAATTTCTTAAAGGGTGGTCCAAGGATGCCCAGGATCCCTTAAGACTCTCTTCGTGGTTTGCAAAAATCAAAATTATTTGCCAGGTGTTCAAAATATTGGCAAACATCTACCAATGTAACTCTTCTCATTTTTCTTTTTCTTAGTTTTAAAATAGTTTTTTTCATGAAAAATATTTTATATTAATAATCTACTAGATTTTAATATTAATTTTACATGATTCCATAACAAATTTAATTTTTCATATTTCAAATATAACCCTTACTCCACAAAAGCAAGCTTTTTTGGAGTCCTCCATCATTTTTAAAAATGGGGATCCTGAAAGCAAAAAAGTTTAAGAAACAGGTCTGTATGACACCAGCAGGTTAACTCAAATGGCTTACCAATTAGAAGGCTTTTTAACCTTCTATGTTCCTCATCAATATCAAAAGCATCTCCTGCAAATATCAGCATGGGCTTTGTTCCCTCCGGACACTTGCTGTTCTATTATAAAAAATAAAAGATTAAAGAACAAAAATGGTTGGCAGAGGACCAAGAGAAGGAGAAAAAGTACCTCAGAAGACCTATCACCAGGTCACTCCCAATAGGAATAGACTGGCTGGGTAGACCTTGCCAATGTTAACTGGCAGCTCAGATGTCCCTTTTGTGGATATGTTGGGACTACACTCCCAGCTGTTTGTTGTCTGCACTAACTGAGAATTCTGGGAACTACAATCCAACATGTTTAGTGGGCAACATATTGAAATTTTAAAAAGGCAATTAAACAAGTAACCCAACAAATTAGGCACTTTCAAAGTTAACTATTCTTGGTACACTCAAATTAGTAATTCGTAGTACACGCCAATTAGTAATTAAAGGGGAAATTTTTTGAATTATTTGAATTAAGATGGAGCTTTTGGAATAATGAAATCAGAATATGCGATGAAATTGCAAATGTGACAGATAAAAGTATAAAGTATAACAAATATGAAGATATGAGAATTATTTAAAGTAAAAAGAAATAAGTTAAGAAATGAGTAGAAAATATAGAAAACAAGTTTGAAGAATATAAGAATATCTGAGAAAATTTACAGAAAATATGAAATGTAATGATATGAAATCAAATGTGAAAGATGAATATGTAACCAAGGTCATGTTTGCATGGAACTGTGAAAACCTGGAACCATGCCGTTCATTAAAAAGAGATGTTTTTTAAATATAAACAATAAAAGAACTTTTTACCAAAAAAAAGGTTAACTATTCTTTAATGTGCTCATAAAAACTGAAATGACAGGCATCACATTAGAATATTTCTTCTCAGACACTGCACTGTGATATGTACATTTACTGTCTTAAAAACAAACAAGTGTTCCTATAGCTACATAGGGTTAAAAAAATAAGTTTCAGTATAGGCAGACTTAAGCTGCTGAAATAAATTTGATCTTCTACATTTTTATTTAAATCCGGTGACAGCACTACTGGTAAACTCTGCCCTGGTCAGTCAAAAGTAACAGCTTAAATATCCAGGAATTCTTGGAACAAGTAGAGCAGCTGATGGTGTCACTCAAAAGCAGTAACCCATCACAGCTAGCTGGACCTGACTACCCAATTTCAAGCCACCTGGACCCTAGCAAACTACAGCTTCTTCACTGATAATCCCATCCCCCAAGTTTAAAAAGCAGATTCCAGTGAAATATAATGAGGACAAACAATGGGAAAAGCTTCCTGGATAAAGATATATTCTTTCATAGATTATAGTCACATTGAGTTTCAAGTAGCATCCATGATTTTTCTGTTTATATCAGTTTGCACAGTGTTAGTACGGAAAAGTGTTTACTGCAAAATTAAATTAAATTGTCAACGAACTGTACAGACTACTCCAGGCAGTTTATCATTGCTGATAAGGCACACATAAATAAATATGACCAAAATATATTATTAAAAGGGGTCCTTAGCTTGCTTGCTTTCTAACTTAGTAACATTATCAGTGCTAGCAAGAAACGTCTGCAAGAAAACAAGCAATCTCAGAGAACACCAAGGACCCCTTCCTGTCCCCCTGAGCTACAAATAGTCTCCTTTATTAATATATTAAAATACTGATCAAACAGCAATTAAGAAGCAGAAATCAGAGAGAAAAGAGATACACCCCCAGCAAATTAAGTCAGTAAGGAAACTAGTGATATTTCGGAATATGTTACCTTAATATCTTTGAGGGCAACAAACTTCTCAATGCCCAGTTCAATCATATCCAGAATATGATAGTCATACATACGACCTACCAAAAGAGAGTAAAAGATAATTGAAGCTGGTCTTTTGACAATGAAATAACATTTCCATTTTAGAAATGAATGCCTTTTTATTGTAGATAGTTTACACCAGAGGTCTTCAAACTTGGCAACTTTAAGACTCGTGGACTTCAACTCCCAGAATTCTCCAGTCAGCATAGCAGCATAGCATAGTTGGCTGGAGAATTCTGGGAGTTGAAGTCCACAAGTCTTAAAAGTTGCCAAGTTTGAAGACCTCTGGTTTTCACATAAAGAATTCATGTACCTTTATGATACCTGTGAAAAAAATAGCTTTCATATATTTTTCCTTAAAGAATTAGAAAGTATTAGAAAACCTGACAACTAACATAACAAGACCAACATCCACTTTTCCTCAAACTCAACTTGACAACATCATGAGTTACACTATGAGCAAACCATACTGGCCTAGTTGCATTGAGCTAATCAAGCAAGTAATGTTATGGCTTAGTGTTACATGATAGAGAAACTTTAATTTCAGACAAAGTTAGCCAAGCAGATGCACTGATTGTAACCCTGAAAGAGATGAGTTATGTCAGCTGGCCTTGACCACAATTCCCCCAATGATCCTTTCTTTAAATTCCATCTATTTGGCTCAAGACAAAAACAGGCTTGTTTTCATACATGGAGAGGGTCTTGTTCTACTTTCTCCAACTACAAATAATTGTATAAATAAATCCCAGACATGTTACCTATGATCAGATTATTAGGCCTCTTCTTGCTATGAGATCCAAACAGGAACAAAGAACAATCAGACTTCTTGGAAAAAAATTCCTAATAATAGAATACGGAAGTTTAAATATGTGGAAATGCTTTGCAGAAAACAATACAAAAACAGGGCATAATTTGAGAAAACCGAGGAGCTGTTACACCACTGTAAATCTTGCCAAAAGAGAAGATTCTGTTGGCTTACAGTTCCCAATTCCTTTTCCACCCTCTCCTTGTTTAGCAATCACATTCTGATCCAACAACTTGGTCATTAAATGACAGGGTTGCTAAACAAATATGAGACAGAGACATGGCAAAGAGGACCAGCCGCTGCTGTCTCATTCAGATAAAGTTCTCATACAGTAGTATTCTGTGCCTGAACTTTCTCTCCCTTCTTTTTTGCCCCATTGCAGGTGGAGATGGCCTAAACAAGTTATCTTTTCCTGAGCTGCTTTTCCCTAATATCAAGGTAATAAGCTCAGCTCTGTGACCTTAGTTGATAAGAATCATCTTCTGCTTAAACCAGGGGTGTCAAATTTGATCCTGTCATGGACTGTATTGGGATTTTGTTTGCCCTTGGGGGGCTGCGGTGGGCGTGGCCTGATCATCACAGTCAACTGGGTAGGCATGGCCAGTCCCGGGGCAGCAGTCCCTTGCTCTTTCTGGGACAGCCTGCAGGCCAACTCCACGGCCTATTGTGGCCAGATGCAGCCCATGGGGTGCATGTTTGACACCCCTGGCGTCAACTGACCAGACGCTAAACCGGTTTCACACTTAAGGTTCCTGTTGTGTAGCCTGCAAAGGATGGTCATAAAAGCATGCATTGGTGGGAAAATGATTCCCCCCCCATTGTTTATTACAGTTGTATTTGCAAATTGTTGCTAGCCAGTCATAAAATGAACAGTGGCGTAAAGTACACTGATGATGTTACCTAGTATAGTAATGAAATGTCTGCAAAAAAATAACTGAGCTCAGAGAGCACTAGTGACCCCAAGTATTCTCTTTTATCAGTAATCTATGGAGTATTCTGGATCAAAATCAGTAAAGATTTTGCAATTATCCTTTTCAGAAATTCAGAAAGATTAACTGAACAGAAATTGTTATCACAATATATTATTTGTAAAACATCCAATACTGTGTTTCCCCTCCAAATCCAACAGAGTTATATCAAATTCCAGTTCTTTCTGGGTTAACATAATGACAGCTTCAAACTAAGAACAAACTTCTTTCAATATCTTTACAAGAGAATATGCTGACCTCAGGGTAAGTTACAAACCAAAGCAATAGGATTATTGTTCCTTTTTATTCATAACTGTTCCACACCCATAATATAAACCACAGAAGAAAAAAAATATGTAAAAACAATATTCTCATTTTTAGCTTATAATCAAAACATATTCTGCTTTCTCAAGGTACAGTATGTTTCTGTAAGGCCTGGAAACTGTTCTTAAGCCTTAGAAAATATTTTTGTGGGGAAAATAGGAGGCAAAAATATTGAGCATGACCTAAGTAAAAATGTAAATATTTTTAAAAGATGCCGGTAAATGCAATGGATCAGCTATCTTTTCTGCGACAGATCCATCTAGAGGCAAAAATACGTATTACTAGAAAACTTAGAAACTAACTAACAGCAACATTTATTTTACATGTTTTCTTGGCTCAATTCAAGCTATATCAAGCTAACCCGCCCACAGTATGACTGAAAAAGAACCCCATCACGACTGTAGCAGAAGATATGCAATGGGAAGTGGCACATATAGTTCTGTCTCACAGCTATTTGTTTCCAGCATTGAAACTAACCTCCTTCAGCAGTTCCTCTCTCAAGATGCTTTGAACTCAATTACAGTTATTTCTCTTACAAAGGAAGAGTTGTAGTCCAAACCCTCTAAGCGACATCAGACAAGAGAAAGCTAATTTAGCACAATGTTAAGGATAGCCAATACAGACTGGATGTTGTATAACCAAATTAAATTTCACGATTCCAGAAAGGGTTTGGATCTATTTTGCTATCTCACATATAGTACATAAGCCTAAATCTAATACTCACCAGAGAGGACTGATCTTCAAAGGGCCTTGTAATATTCTTTCTGAAACAGATTTTTAAAAACTCATAAATACCTGCTTTAACCTACCCGCAAACTAGTAACTTCCCAAAAAAACTGCTTGGTTCATATTATATGCTAAGCAAATCATGGATGCTTCCTCCTATAGCTTTCTAATTAGTAGATAGCAGCCATTACAAGAAGCCAATGGATGCTGCTTGAACACAACATGGTTTAGCATGATGTGCAAACTGATCTAATGTAAAATGCTGCAGCTTTTCTTATCTGAGAACTGTTATTCCTTTTTGATGCTGGTCATCAGGACCACCTTACCAGTTCATACAGCAACTAAGTAAACATTCTTGGGCACTCTTGTCTCCAGCTTCTGATATACCTCTTCCAAATATTTGGGGGGGGGGGGGGGGGCTCTCTTTCTAACACTGCTTCCAATACCAAGCTATCACTCATTACTATACAATTTTTTGGAAATGTATTTGTGTTGTGACAGAAAGCCTATGCACATACCCTTCAGGTGGATTAGATGGTAACTCCCAATCTTTTCAGTCAGAGGGCCAATGAAAATTATAACTGGATATATCTAAAAAGCATTAGATTAGAGAAGGCATATCAAATGATTTGCCTGGTTATCTACACTTTCTATTGTGCAGTGTTTTATAGATATTTTTTGTATTAAACATAAACATCCCTCAACTACCACATATACTTGCAGATAAGCCCATGTACCGATAAGTTGACACTTATCCAAAATACCATGAAAGGTATGCCTCCTGCAGATAAGCCAACTGTTGTGGTTCGCCGGCAGCCGGTGTAGACAGCAAATATTATCAGACAGTGAGGACGAAAGGGAACCAGTCAGGGAGTCTGGCGAGGACTTGGACAAGGGTCCTACATCTGATGCAAGGATGGGGCCAGGACCATCTGGGGTGCTGCCTTCAGAGATTTTGGAGTCTGGCAGAAGAGAAGCAGAGGATTCCGGGAAGCCTGTTCCCAGCGTACATGTGCACAGAGCTGCTAGAAGGCAAGAGCAGCTGAAGCAGAAGGGGTAACTTGGAGTAAGGCTGGAAGGTGATTGCCCCTCCCATAAGGGATAAAAGTCAGTCCTCAATGACGAAAGCTTTGCAGGAAGCAAAGCAGTTCAGTTATCTCTGAGTCCTTCTTGAAGCTCTGTACTCTGGTCAGTTTTTTCTAGGTTTTTGGGTTGGTTTGTTAGCCTGAATTGGACTTCTGTTTCTTGGCACCATTCGGCAGCGCTAAAAAGCGTGCTCGTCTGGAGGAACTTTGTCTAATGACTTTTGGCTGGGAATGCAAGTAATTCCCAGCATCACATTAAAAAAGGTTTTACTTTTAAATTCAGTTTGTGTTTTATTGAGTTTTATGAAACCTGGGTCAGAACACCAACATTTTCTTATGTAATTGGTTTCTCTGTGGGTGATATATTTTTCATGGTATTTTTATTGGAAATTCAAGTGTTGGCTTATCTGTAATACATGGATACCATACTTTAAAAAACATTACTGCATATACTCGCAGATAAACCCATCTCCAGATAAACCAAACCCAGTTTTGGGGAGAGGTTTTGGAACCTAAAGCCTACTTTTCATAGGTTGTAGTGGTTGACTACATGAATGTATGCATGTATGTATAATTATGCACATTCATATTTGCATGTATCTCTGTGTGTGTGCGTGCATACATATAAGTGAAATTATGCAAAGAATTCAACAAGCATATTTTATACTTCTTTTTAAATTGTTAAAGTAGCTTGGACCTTTCCCAAGCTTTAGAAATTGTTCCTGGCTATTTCTGAATGTGGATTTCCTTCACTTGGAAGGAAGAAAGAAACATAGTTATTTTAATGACCTTAAAACTCCTCTTTCAACTGCTTTGCATAATCCTATTATGATGTGTGAATGTACATGCATATGTACAGTATATGTCATTCATATATATATAAAATATACCCATGTTTCTCCAAAAATAAGACCAGGTTTTATATTAATTTTTGCTCCAAAAAACACATTAGGGCTTTTTCCCAATTAGGTCTTATTTTCAGGGAAATACGGTGTACACACACACACACACCAAATACCACATAGCTCTGTATCACATTTGAATACCAGAGAAAAATACACCAGCAATATATCACTTACCTTTTATATAAGACAGCAAAGGGCTTTTTCAGGGCATACTATAAAAAAGAACATTTTAGTTTAGAAGTCACATTTAACAATGCGAATCTTAAAATGTTTCAAATAAAAAGGAAATATATTTGTTTAGATCAACTTAGAACAAATAAAGCCTAGATTAATGAGTGCCTGAAGGACTTCATTGGGCTTTAAGCTCACTAGCAGGTTCTACCAAATAACTCTGCTAATCCCTTGCTGGCTCTTATAGCAACACTGAGGCACAAATACTATCATCTCACTACAAAGGTTTAATCTGAATCAGATCAATTGCATTCTCCCACTATGGTGAGGGAATAGCGACATTATATTAACATCTGGTATCCTTCACTGTTGTCCCCTTCTCATATCCAGAAGATTTTATTAAACAGGTGACACTTTGCTATTGTAAGTCACTTTCACCCCATCCTCGCCAAATTGGGGAGTCCTTCTGACAGAGTAAAAAAATGATTTCTCAGCTTCATAGAAGGCATCTTCCTCTGGAATGTTTTAAAACTATTTTCCTATTTTTTTCCTTTTTCCTACTTTCCTTTTTTCTTACCTACTTTTCTTCCTCCAATTCTAATACTAGGATCTGCTTATAAGAGAACCCTTAAAGGTAAGTGTTTTTAAGCCCTCAAGATGGAAATCGAAATACATTAAATGAATACAGATATGTTTAGTAAGGCAGAGGAGGAGGAATGAAGAGACAACACTGAGAAAATCTCCTCCACAACACGTGTTAAGGCTCCATGCATTCTAGATTGACTTCTAAACACAATTCCAGTATCAGTAACAAAAGTTACCATTCCCACAAATTTTATAAACAAATAGACCGCTAGAGGACATATTTATCTTATTGTCTTACAAGGAAAATAAGACAAAAAACGAGCACAAACAACTAAAAATCAAATGCTGAGATTTTAATGACTGAATTCCTACTTCATTGTGCTCCAGATCCTGATAATTGGTAATGTTAATAATTGGTCTGAGGACCAATAATTGGTCAACCTGTGGTCTGCAGACCCTTGGGGGGCAATAATGTTGTCACAGGGAGTCTATGAATGCTTGAAGAAATGTTAACTATTTAAATCTTGAGTTAAGTCTTGGGAATCTGAGGCCACGAAAGATATTTAAAGGGAGTTGGTGGTGAAAAAAAGGTTAAGAACTACTGATTTACAGTGTATATTTCTGGTTCCAATTCCCAAAGAAGCACCATTACTTTTACAGAAATTTCTAAACATACTTACAATATTTTTGAGTACTTCTGCTACTGTTAAATTTGCATTTCCTCCTTTTATGAGCATTGCATTTTTGGTGTTTTCTGTCAGTTTAGGCTCCCTTTTTTCAATAAATCTTTTGGCTCTCTTTGTTTTAGGCTTTCTGCCATGAAAAAAAAAACAAGTAACAAATTAAGTTTTACAAAATAGTTAATTGAGATCTACAATGCTATTATTTTGTTTAGCACTTCTAAATGCTGCCCATCATAAAATCGCAACATGACAATTTATAAAAAATACAGACGTGATATAACCAGCAGCAGAACGTTATTGATGCAAACTGAATCTATGGATGAAAAGGAGAAATGATACCCAATGGCATGTTAGAAAGACTACTTGCTTCTCAGCATGACCCATTGAAGTGAGGCATCCAGGTGTCTAAAAAATTAGCCTGATTCATACCAGGTTGCCAAGGCTGGGTTTTTGACCCTTGTCTGGATGTCTAGGTTTTTATTTTAAAATTTACATTTTTATAAAATATCTTGCACAGCATGTATTAAATGGGTAAAAATAATTTAATTTAAAATTGTTTTATTGTGTTGTTATCTGGGCTTTTATATAGAATCTGTGATTATTTGAGCCCCAAACATTTTAGGAAACTCTGCTGTCAATCCTGGTTCATATGAGAAGGTTTTTTCCCCTGAGCAAATGATTGGTTCTTAAATAATTGATGACCTCAGAAGTCACCAAACATAACTTGAGAGAGATCAGAATCTGAATATGCAATTGGTATGTCTGCCTGCAAGCTTGTATATGCAAACCCCAAATTGCATTTAAAACTATAAATAAGCCAATTACCAAACCGGTTATTGGCTATGTGGTTATTTTGTTTACCAATTGGACAGAATTTATCTGAAATTACAATCTCCAATTCATACTCAAGAACTGGGCAAAATAAAGTTGAATATTTTTTATTCCTTCTCCATGGTCTAAAATTTTATTTCTGCATAGGGAAAGAAAGAAAAGAATGGAAGGCTTGTTCACATTTTTTCCATGCCTGCCAATCTTACATTGTTTATATTTCTGGAAGAGACAATCTATGCCCTTGAAAAATTAAAACTAAGTTGCAATATTATTCCAGGAAACTCCCCTTTCTAATTGACTAATGTTTTTCTTCTCTCCAAACTAATTTTCTTCTCTCCAACCATATTCACACCACGAAGATGAAAAACAGCATATCTTATCTTGGTTTGTTGTAGTATGACCTCTTGCCATAGGTACTACATTCTCAAATCAACTCTTCATTCCTCACCCCATTTCACTCAGTAAACCTATACAGCATCTGCTTCAGGATTCTTCTTTTGTGAATTGAAAAAATAATTCTCCATCAGAACTACCACCACTATCTCCAAGAATATTACTAACTTTATTTGATATACCAGTGAAGGCAAACTTGTAATCATACAAACACCAGCACTGAACCAAAACATCAGAGAGCCAGAGGTTGTGAAACAAAGCAGGAAACAAAAGGCACTTACAAACAACTGGTCAGCTTGTAACAATTGTATTTCATATCTGCCTGCTGTGCAATTACCCCAAAACATGGAAAGGCATACATATGTGTGCCACTGATAGTAGTACCTACCAAATAAACATTCATTTCACCTCATTTGAAATATTACTGCAAGGACTCAGAGAAAACACAAGCCACCTTAACACGAAAGTCTTAACATTAAGAAACGTTCCTTAATAAAAAGCTGCAGTTTAGCTACATTCCCACCGAGAAATTCACTGTTTCCTCTTATTATATAGTAGTGCAATTATTATTTTTTTTACCCGTTTCAAGGCACTTAGTGATTTCCCCGCAAAGCCTATTAGTGAACCCCGACAGCGTTATAGACCCCACACCAGGTCGGGGGAAACTAATCGCTGACTGGTCGTTTTAGACCAGAAGTCCCTAAACTTGGCAACTTTAAGACTTGTGGACTTCAACTCCCAGAATTCTCCAGCCAGCATAGCTGGCTGG